TTAAAACCCAAAGATTCACAGAGAGTTAAAATGAAGAGCTGGAACAAAATTCATTATTTATCAATTGAACTTAAAAAAAGTAGGTAAAGATAGCAATTGTGATTTCAGATAAGGTGGCAGAAAATACAAACATGAAAAAGAGACAAGTAAAGAAAGTACATTATATATAAAGACACTATAAATAATAAAACAACATCAATGTTTAATATATGTGCTTAATAGAATAGTATTCAAATATTTTTAAGAAAAATTTAAGAAAAGTTAATTAAAGCAAATTAATAATAGCAAATTTATAAGAATAAATAAATTAGAAATTATAATTTATATGTAAATATAAATTTATGAGAATAAGGAACCTAAACCTAAACTTAGGAAAATCTAACCAAAAGATAAATAAGAAACAAGTTAATGACATGAATAGAATTTCAGATCATTTAGAGGTGAAATATTTCCTGCAATTACTAAATTGAAATAAAAAGGAATTTACATGCTTCTCAGTTATACATAGCAACTTTATAAAAACTTACTGTGACATAAAATCCTCACAAAAAATGTAGGAAAGCTGAATTACTAAACACATCATTTACTGATTATGATTCAATTAAAAAGCATATTTGATAATGACCTTTAAGAATTAAAAAAGTAACTAGAGATTAAATTATATAAAGTAAAATGAAAAGTAACTAGAGACCAAAAAACAATCAGAGGAAATGGTAGATCAAAGAACTAGGAGCTAATTTTTTAAAAAAGAATGAAATAGTGGCAAATAATATATAATTCTAAAAGCAAACATTATATTTACATATAATAAAGAGAAAAATAACAGGCTTTTCCAGTAAGGGAGGAAGGCAAGGATACCCATTAACACAACTACTATAGCAATAAGTCATGAAAAAGAAATCGAGGGAATAAGCATATGCAAAGAAGAAACAAAATTACTGCTTTTTTGCCTATGATATGAAAGTAAACTTAGAGAACCCTGGGTGTCAACTAAAACATTAATAGAAATAAGTAATAACTTCAGCAAAGTTGAAGGATACAAAATTCCCACATTAGCCATGTACAAAGGAAGAAAAAAGAAAATATACTTCAATCAAGACAATTTTCATTGGTCATTGTGTTAATTGAAGTTCCCAAGCCTTTCAGATTCATTGGCTGTACAATATTTTTGATATTGTTTTCACGGTTCTCTGATTCTGCTTACTTCCCTTTGCATTAGTTCATATAGGTCTTCACAGATTTTTCTGACATGAACTCCATCATCATATCTTAACAATAACTAATCACCTTCATGCAGTATGTAAAATTTGATCAGCCATTCCCCAAATGATGGACTCCTGCTCAGGCTCCAATTCTTTGCCTCCACAAAAAGAGCTGCTATAAAAATTTTATACACATAGGACATTTTCATAGGGGGTGTGTGTGTGTGTGTGTGTGTGTGTGTGTGTGTGTACACACACACATACATATATATAAAATCTTTGGAGTATAGGTTATCATTGATATAGTGGCATCATTGGGTCAAAAGGTATGCACGCTTTAATAGTTTTTTAAGCATAGTTGCAAATTCTTTCATACAATGGCTAGACCAGTTCACAGCCTCACCAACATGTTTTGTCTTTTGGGGTTTTTTTTTGGGGGGTGAAGCAATCGGGGTTAAGTGACTTGCCCAGGGTCACACAGATAGTGAGTGTCAAGTATTTGGTCTGAGGCTGGATTTGAACTCAGGTCCTCCTGACTTCAGGGCCAGTGCTCTGTCCACTGCGCCACCTGGCTGCCCCCAACATGTTTTAATTTACCTTTTTTCCCCCACAGCCCTTGCATTTGTTATTTTCCAATTTTGTCAATTTTGTCAATCTGATGAGTGATAAAATGGTACCTCAGAGTTGCTTTGATTTTCATTCATCTAATTATTTAGATTTTTTAATATAGCTTGGATTTTATCCACTGAAAATGATCTATTCTTATGTTCTGATCATTTATCAGTTGGGAAATGGTTCTGATATATTTGAATCAGTTACCTATATCAGAAATGAAACTTTTATCAGAAAAAATTTATTGAAAAAAAAGTTCTTCAGTTCTTGCTTCTCATTTTAGCTGCACTGATACTGTTGGTGTAAACCTTTTTCATTTTATGCAATAAAAATGGTCCATTTTATTTCCTGTGAACCTCTCTATCTCTTATTTGGTCATAAACTCTTCCATAGCCATATGTCTTAAAAATAATTTCTTCCACATTCCTGTAATTTGTTTATAATGTCACCTTTTATATCAAAATCATGCACCCATTTGGAGCTTGTCTTGGTTAAAGGTGTGAGAAGTTAGTCTATACCTAGTTTCAGCCAGATTGCTTTCTGATTTTTCCCAAGAGTTTTATTGAATAATGAGGTCTTAGACCAATAGCTGGGATCTTTGGGGTGGTCAAACTAGGCTACTTCATTTGCTTCTTTATATAGGGTACCTATTCTGTTCTACTAATCAACCTTCCAATTTCTTACCCAGTACTAATTTTGAAGATTTTGGACTGGTAGTATAGTTTGAGATCTAGTACGACTAGGCCATCCTTCTTCACACTTTTTTTCAAAGATTCCCTTGATATTCTTGACCTTTTGTTCCTCCAGATGACTTTTGTTATTATTTTTTTCTTGCTCTATAAATTGGGCAGGAAGTAGCACAGTGGACAAAATGTACTAGAAGGAATGGCGATGGCAGCTAGGTGGCGTAGCAAATAGAGCACCGGCCCTGAAGTCAGAAGGACCTGAGTTCAAATCCGGTCTCAGACAAAACACTTGACACACTAGCTGTGTGACCCTGGGCAAGTCACTTAACCCCAGTTGCCTAAAAATTAAAAAAAAAAAGGAATTGTTATGAGAGCATGAAAATAATGGGAGAAGTGGTCAGAAAATGAAAAGGGAAAGAAACTTTAAAAAAAATATGAAAAGCAAATAAAAGGAAGAAAGGTAGAAGATCATCAAATAAATAATGCAGTAACAAGAAGCATATTCAAAGACAATGGCATGACTAAACAGAGAACAGTTTTTAATGACATAAACCTTGCTTAAGCAGGCACACACACAAACAAAATTACCATATACCACCCCCACCAAAGTCGAAAGGCAATTTTCCTTTACAAGTTTATTCTGATATTAGTAGCTAAAATATTTTGCCATTCCAGGCAGAGCAGATATTTGCCAGAAACATTTCAAACCTGCACAGTGTTCAACTTTCAATTATTTTCTATGACTAGGCTGGTCCCAAATGATTGGTATAGAAAGAATAAAGAACATTGTTTCTTCAGTTCTGTGGGTGGTATACAATGTATGAGGTGAAGTAGAAGGGGGAAAGAGGATCTTTGCATGTGACAGGACTATCTAATTAAAAAGCTAAATTGGGTCTGGATATCAGTGACTTAGTAGAGAAATACTACAATTTCAAGGCATCTGGTAGCTCATGAGATAGAACACGAGGCCTGGAGTCAGAAAGACCTAGGTTCAACTATAGCCTCAGACACTTCCCAGCTGTGTAACCCTATGCAAATGTAAGGGAAACTGAGGAAGATAGATCCTCCCTAGCCCCCTGCGTAACCATCTTATGACCTAATGGTGTAACTGCCTCATGACCTGACATAAAGATAGATGGGAGTTACCACGCATGGCTGGAGCTGACCATGGAGATGAAACATTAAATAATCAACAAGCTATGTTACCTGGGAAAGCAAATTATCTCAAGGAACGTTTTTCTTGAGAAAGGTGTGTAACTGTCCAAGGAATTGATCACTCCTTGAAGACTTACACAACAAACAGGTATTTGGGGCTCTAACCAACTCCCAGCTTTTGTTAGAGATGTGTGCGTGTCCTGGACATGAGCGTTCACGAAGGAGATGTACACAAAACAAAGTATCAAGATTGTCTTTCCCTAGTTGACATGGAGATAACAGGGTCATTGGAAAAGGAGATTTTGGAGTACTTTGATGCTGAGATAGGGATGCCGACTCTCTGCCAGAGGCGAATCACGTGCACAGCCTTCGCTGTTTCCCAGGGTAGGACGCTCCCCATTGCCTCCCTGACCAGACCTTTTGGCCGCTCTCCAGTCTCCCCGGTCAATTAGATATATTTGAGCTCACCTGGTCAGTGAGTGTGTATCCTTTCTTTTCTTATTACTACTTTCCTTTATATTGATTATTACTTATTGCATTGAATGTTATTCTTATCTTTATTGCTTGTGTGGTTTTTAATCATTATTAATCATTGTAAAATAAATGTGATTATTTGTTAAGTTTATCTTGAGTACTTGTCATTATATCCTGAGATCCGAACCTAAATTGAATCTGCGAAGTACTTAATCCTTTCGATTACAGCAAGTTACTTAACTTCTGATTGCGTGACATAAATGGATCTACTGGAGAAGGAAATGGCAAATAATTCCAGTGTCTTTGTCAAGAAAACCCCAAATAGGTCACAAAGGGTCAGACATGACTGAAACAACTGAATAAGAAAGTACAATCTCAGAAAAGTTCCCATTGATTAACATTTGAACAAGAATCTAAGATTAACACTGTTTTTCTTAATACAAAAGACAATGGTTTTCTTTTAAATTATGATTCAGGTTATTAAAAAATTCTAAACATAAGCTTATATTTTCCAGTTTTCATAAATACTGCTTCATGTTTCTCAGAGGTTGATATTTTATATAACTAAAAATTGCTGAAGCAAGGAGAAAATACGTACCTTCACGAAGATATAGTCATGACGTTAAACTCCATGCAACTAACATTTACAACTGTGCATAAGGATTTTAAAATAACTAAAGATTAGGTAAAAAATCCTCAAACTGATTGATAGCAAGTCAGCCTGAGATACAGTTTTAAAATGTCAATAAGTTAACAAGAAAAACTCTTTTCTTTTTGCAGAATAATGCTACCTTGGTGCCTAAATGTTGATCAAGATAAATATGCGGACATTTTTTTCAGTCTCATCACTTTTTTTATTTTTATTTTTTACCTCATTGTAGTCACTGGCAGTGGTAAGTGAAGACTGAGCTTCTTCATTCAGTGATTCAAGCACTTTCACTTCAGCAAACTCCCCCAAAAGTTCCTGAAACTCAGGCAAAGACCTTCGGCCATAGCATTTTCCATCTTTGATATATTTGGGCTGAACTTCTGGCAAGCAATCTGAGCAAGGAAACAAAATTGAAGTACCACTGAATGATAGACACTGTATCAGTATGATTCCTTCTACCTGACAAACAAACCTGATAAATCTGACAAACTTTTAAAAAACTGTTGGAATCGTGAAGGAAGTGAATGTGTTCATAACATTACACACAGAGAGAATACAGGCTTCCAGTTCCGAATGACTTAGCTCATCTTGAATATACACTTGTATATAGATGGCGGAATATGATACTGAGTTTGACGAAAGGGGAAAAAAATACAGAATTCAAATTAGGAAAGAAGGGACCATTTCTGTTCTTCCGAACACTAAACTAAGTTGGAATTTCATGAGGGGGTGCTAAAGTCACATAAAGAGAAGCACTGAAAATTGAACATTAAATAAACATTTTATCAGCAATGTAAAGTTAGCTCACACACCAATTATTTTTAAAAAACACTCTTACAAGTCTTTTATCAATAATGTCACTTTCTGAAATATCAGACAAGTACAATACCAGAAAAAGAAACAGAATGGATTCTAATCATTTACACTACATATGACCTGAGGTTCTCATTAAGCAATCAAAAGTTGAAAAATAATGTAAGCACTGGGCAACAGGGTTAAAGGAAAACCCCATACTTTGTTCTTCCTTAGTTTGAATTTTATCATTAGACAAAAGAAAGAGATGCTCCCTACAATTTATACTTTCAAATCTGACATTTTCATTTGATATGTTTCAGAAATACTTACCTACACTATCCTCATAGTTAATAACAGGAAAAAGTGAAGCTTCTTCTGTAAGGGATAGTTCTAAAAGATAAATAATTCGCTCTACACAAGTGACAACTTTGATATAGATTGACTTTATTAATTTGGTGGATGACCTGAAAATTACACAGTATTTAAGAAAGTAAAATATCCCATAGCTTAATTATGCAAGGAATTACAAAGTACAGAAGAAAGGGAATTCCTGGATTCTACTTTTCTTTTTGTCAAAATAGTCAAACTGAACCTCTGAAGAATAACATAATTTATTATTTGACTGCAACAACCCTAACTACACATGTCTAAATTCAGACATGGGAATTATTGATGAATCATGTGAGCGTATAATAAAAATGAAAATGATTGGCCAGAGGAGACTTTATGGGAAAAAAAAAACTACATCTTTTTCATCATCAAAATGGAGCTTGAATAAGCAGTCATCGCATAGTTTCTTTGGAAGAGTTGATAACACCATTTCATTGCTCCAAAATGTCCAGGATCAAAACACTGGAGACATCTTTGATTTTTCTTTCTCTTACACAACCCCTTTCTTTCTCCTACATTTATAGACTGATTGTCCAGTTGTGTTGATTCTTCTATCTCTCTCATAATCTTCCTCACATTCACCTCCTTTTTAATTCCACAGCCAACATCCTAGCTTAGGCTCTCATCATTTTAATGTTGGAAAGGAGATACATGTTCTTGTCTCCAGTCTAAATCTCCTTTCGAACTCATCTTTAGCATTGAACTCAACAAACATTTAAGTACAGCAAAGGGATACAAGACAAAACAGAAATGGTTCGGTTCATCAGTAAACAAGATTACATTTTACTGGGGCAATACAACATGTACATAGATCAGCAAATGAAAGGGAGGGAGAAAACACTAGCATCTAGGAGAAGAGAGGTAAGAGACACTAAGAAGGTTTTCCAATAGGAAGTAGCACCTGAGCAAAAGCTTGAAAGAAACTAAGGATTCTAAGACACAAAGGTGAGGAAGGAGTTTATTCCAACAATGTGGGACAGCTTGTGCAAAATCACAGAAAAGATAGATGGAATGACAATTAGAGGCAAGAGCAGGTAAGTATGCTTGACTGAAATGTAGAGTACATGACAAGCAGTGATATAAAACATAGCTTGCTTTGTATATGTTTATTTGCATGTTGTCCTCTCCATTGAGGGCTCCTTGAGGGCTGAGACTGTTTTTGCCTCTTTTTTGGATCCCCAGTGCTTAATACAGTGCATAGTAAGCACTTACTTTTCACAGCAAACAGGCGGAACTATATGTTCTATTATTTCTCTCTTACTAAAAATGAAATTGAGGATCGGAGAATATAAATGACTTGTCCACAGTTACGCAGCTAATGAGTGCCATCAGGTTTTTATAAGTCCAAAAAAGCATTCTACTACAAACCAAAGCCTCACAGCAACATGTATGACAGATATAACCACTCTCAGTTTACAGGTGGAAAAATTTAGAGAATTTAAAATAATTAGAATCAGAACATGTTAGAATTGTGAAGGGCTTTCAAGGTCATTTAGTTTAAGGCCCAATCCCCCTGCCTACCCATTCATTTTGTTGTTATTATTGTTGTTCAGTCATTTCAGTTATATCAGTCTCTTCATAACCCTATTTGAAGTTTTCTTGGCAAAGTACTGGAGTGGTTTGCAATTTCCTTCCCCAGCTCATTTTGCAGATGAAGAAACTAAGGCAAACAGAGTTAAGTGACTTGCCCAGGGTCACACAGTTAATCAATGTCTGAGGCCAGATTTGAACCCAGGAGGATTACTCTTCCTGATTTTAGGCCTAGCACTCTATATCTACTGTACCACCTAGCTGCCATCCATTTTACAGATGAGGGAATTGAAGTCCAGGGAAGTGAAAGACCCTTGTCCATGGTCACACAGCTAGTAAGTAGAAAAGAGTAATTTTAAATCCTAGTTGCCTCAGTCAATTTCCACTTCATTACGCCAACTATACAAAGTTCTCAGATCTTGCACTTATATTTAGAGAGCAGGCAAGAAACATTCATCAAAAGGGGACAGCTAAGAACACCTGAACTCTTCTTTCCTGAAATGGGAACTTATGATAACTGTATTGTCTAAGAAAAGTAATACAAGTAAAATCTACAGAAAGTAATAACCTTCCATAGATTACCACCTTCAGAATTTGTAATGATGTTTCCTCCTCACATCCGAATGCTATAAAATAGTAGCAATAGAAAGGGGAATGGCAAAGCTAATCTTTATTTCTTAATGTACTCCTAAAAGAAAAATAACAAAATATTTCTGCTCACTTTAATTTCAAGGGGATTTATAGGGCACAATCAAATGTAACAAGTATCAGGGACACGTGAAAAGAAAAGCATCCCCTTTGTTTTACTTGCAGTTGAAAAACTACTCAGAAAATATTTTTAATACAAAAAAATCCACTCTCCAAATATTTCTCTGAGTATTATTTAAGGTTTATCTGTTCCTCAGAACATAAATCTTAAGTAAATAAAATCATCTCATTGTTGGTTAGTTTCCCTTTAGAAGCATTTCTAATAGCTCATCCTCATAGGATGTTCTAAAAATAATTCCATTTGCCCAGTGTATGCTGAAGAAGATCAACTCAATATTGACAGTTAGAACTTACACGACAAAGACATTTTAATGAAATTTTAAAAACACTTGAGGTGAAATGTGTTAGAATACAAAAGAGATATCAAAATTTAAGAATATAAATGTAGAAACCTCAACATCCTTGATATTTTCCCACTATTAATTAATCCATTCCTCTCTTTAATTCTAGAAAATGTAAAGTTGCATCATGTAGAATTAGAATAGTGCTCAGAGCATTCTGACTCTATTTCTCCTTGTTTAAATACGTAAAGTCTCTTTTGACTTACACGACAGTACAATTATCCCTTCCATATTGCAAGAGTTAATGGTGCAGCACCTGCATAAAATTTTTGGCCCTCCTTTCGTACCAGAGAAATCTGAATTTTTTCTTTTTCTTTTTCTTTTGTGGGATGTTTACAGTATCTTTTTTGTAAAATTTGGATTAATTATTTGGTCATAGACTCTGTGTTGTCTGCTGACTTTTGTTCTGTCTGTGACTTCTGAAAAATTTCCAAAATTCCCATTTAATTTCTTATGCCAATCCGTAATATATTAAAACCATGATGGGGAAAATTCTACTATGGAAGAGATAACTCTATTGAATGACTGGTTTTTGACAATGGGAAATGCAGCACTCTTCTAGCCCCTTCAACTCCACTCCAAGAGTGAGTTATTTGCCATACCATCTGATTTGTTACTTAAGGAAAAAAATCAATTATTTCTTCCCTCATAAAATGAAACACTAGAAAAGTGTTCTGTTAGTGTTCAATACCTACAAGACTGTGAAGTTGAAAATAACCCCAGTCTTTGAAAGGCAGATGCCTTTCAAACTTAAACTCCTTTAATGGTATGCTTTAACTTCCACAAATTATTCATTTGTTAAACATTGTTAAAGGAAATGTAGAATAAGAAAAGGAAAAAAAATCCCACCTGGTTCTTTCAAGTGCTCTTCAAAGGAGAGAGTTCTGGATAAAACAAGTATTAGTGCTTCTTTAAACTGGTCAAAGTACACCTAAGGAAAAAAAATTGAATTAAGTTGCCATCCAAAGAATAAACATTGATCATTCACATAAATAATAGATTTGTGGAAAGTCACAATTTCCCTTTAGTTTTGGTTTGTTTTTGTTTTTTCTCCCTGCTTTTTTCCTAAAATATAGGGGGGGGAGGATAATTTTTTAACCTTTCCACCATAAATTTCAAGATAAATATTCTCTTATTCTCTGAAAAGAAAGTCGTTTAGCAAAAGGAAAAAAACAAGATTTTTGCAATATTAGAAAAAAAAATTTATGTTTTTCCAGTCTTCTTTGTGTCCAAGGTAAGTAGGCACAAACAGCAGAAAAATGAAGGGAAACTCCCTAAGGACTGTGAGATACTAGAATAGGTTATCACTTGAATGCCTGCTTTTCAGGAGATTGTTGAGAAAAAAGGCAATTATATTTTCCAAATGATTTGGCCCTGCCTAGAGGCAGGGAACAGACTTTCTCTTTCTTTCTCTTTCAGCCAGAGGATTTTGTAAACAAAGATTAACAAGCAGAGAAATCCTTTAAAAGCTATTTCTTTAGTTGCATTAAATAAGATTTTGTCTGACTGAAAAGGGAGCTCACCAGGCAATTAGTCAGAGCTAATATTACATGCACTACTAAAAAGTTTTATGGGATAAAAGTCTTCTCTACCATTATCAAGTTTATTCTTACTGTAGATAACCTAAAATATGTCACCACATATCTGAAAAAGAGGGAGAAATGAAATTCCCTTTAATTCTAGGACAGAATTATCTAGGATAAAATTCACTTTAATTCTAGGATAATTTTCAACAAATCAAGTTTTACTCTCCTGTTCAAGTTTTTATTTCTATCACCAAGTACAGAACTAAGGTAATTAAGCATCCCAAAGCTTTGAAAGTGTTGTCATTTGCTTTACAATCAATTCACCCATAGTCTGGATAATTCTGCCTTTTAGTCTGTGGAAGATCAGTGTTCTAAGAAGGCGTCAGGTAAATATCCTTTCTACCTTGATTTGGGAGACTTCAGTTCAGCATTTAGTAAGTTCACACCATGTTTAAAGCACTCTGTTATGCAGTGTTAGATAACGAAATAATGAGAACATCTTGAATAATGACAATTCACCTATTCATGTATTTGGAATCCAGTGACCTGGGTTCATGTCCTCGTTTATTCTGCCCCTGCCAGTCATGCGTCTTGGAGAAAATTATTTCATTTTTTTGATCCTTAGTTTCCTATCTACTGTTCTATGTTGCAATACAATCCATCCTCAACTTTTGTGGGGATAATGTTCCTAGAAAGTGGCATGAATGTCAAAAATGCAAATGTTGGTTTATTGAACCTACAGGAAATAGGGGATTAGGCTCACACAACCACCAAAAACTGTAATCTTTCTCTAGGGATTGCTGAAAATACACCTTTATGCATACAGTTCTTTATAATAAAACATTAATTCTGATAATATGCACTTTTCCTAACATAATAACTATGGGATAATCCATAAAATGCAGTACACAAAATGAACTTGCTAACATGAAAAACATTTTTTCTCACTAGTAATTTGCTTGAATTCTATGGCCTTTTGTGCTAATATTTCAATTAAAAAAAATTATTTCAGACAATATTCGTTTTTCATAACACATGAAATCTATAGTACCATAAATACTTTCCTCCTTTTAGTGGACGCCGTTTATTCATTAACATTAACACCAAACTCATAGCCAACAGCAGCTGCAGAAATTCTATGAAGTCCTGGAATTAGAATCTTATTAGAAGAAATGGCTACCTATCCAGGAATAGGGAAATGATAATTCCATAGTGTTCTGCCTTATCAGACCTCATCTGGAGTATTGTGTTTCATACTGGGTGCCACATTTAAAAAGAACATGGATAGGATGGGAAATGTCCAAAGGATGACGACCTGAATGGGGAAGGACCTTGAGTTCATGTACAAAGATTTGTTGAAGAGACTTTTTCCCCGTATATGGAGAAAAGAAAATATCAGGAGGACTCATGATAAAAAATGTCATCCATCAGGGCAGGTAGGTGGCACAGTGGATAGAGCATCGGCACCGAACTCAGGAGAACCTGAGTTCAAATCCAGTCTTACAGCAAACACATGTGACCCCAGGCAAGTCACTTAGCCTCAATTGCCTTTAAAAAAAAAAGTCCTCCATCTCTAAAGATGAATTCTGAGCACAGATTAATGCACAATTTTTTCATTTTTTTTCTTGCTTTTTTTTTTTGCAACATGGCTAATATAATTCATATATTGCTTGCTTTCTCAATGGGTGGGGGAGGGACCACAGGATTTAAAACTCAAATCTTTTTTAAAAATGAATGTTAAAAATAAATAAATAATATTTTTTAAAATTTCTGTGCAGAGTGAGGAAGAATGAGGAGACAAAGATGATGCCAAAGTTTTGAATCTGGATGACTAGAATGAAAATGGTGTTCCTGAGAAACAGATTCAGAAGAAAGGTTTTGCAAAAGGTTTAAGTTCATTTCTTAGCATGTTGAATGTGAGTGAGGTGCCTATAGGACATATAGTTGGTGATCTTAGGATTATAGATGTAGAGCTTGCAGAGACCTTGGAAGCCTTCTAGTTAAACCCCGTTGTTTTGTACGAGATGAAAATGAGGCCCAGAGAAAGTGTCTTGCCTGAGGTTACACTAGAGGCACAATTTAAACCTAGGTGCTCTGGCTCCAGGGAGGGCATCTTCAGCTGAGGAACTGGAACTCAGGACAGCCTAGGAAAATAGTCCTGGACCAACATTTCACACATGAAAGCAAGACAAGCTCAAAATGGGTACATGATTCAGACATAAAGGATGATATCCTAAGAAAATTAAGAGAGCATGGGAAAAAAAATTACCTGTCAGATCTATGGATATGGGAAGAGATGGTGGCCAATCAGGAAACAGAGAGGTTCACAGGAGGTAAAATGAATTATTTTCATTACATAAAATAAAAAAGTTTTTGTTCAAGCATAACCATTTAGCCAAAATCAGAGAGATTAGGGATGGATATTTAAGTAGCAGGGGATTACAGTTGGGAGAATGATCACTCCCTTTCTACCCCCTACTGTTCCATTTCCCCTATTCATCCTTATCTTGGGTTCTGTGGTTATTAAGAGGTTTGTTCTGATACTCCACATTAATTACTAAAATTCAAAATCTCTTTAATTAATCAATTAGCTCTGAGCCATCATTCCCAGTTATTACTTCTTAGTTCTAGAAACACGTTGTTCCAGGACACCACTAGGAGTCTTTTCTTAATGTTTCTCTTTATAATTCTTTACAAGATGAGGATTAACAAGGTTAGGTAAAAAGGTTACAAGATTAAAGAATTAAGTGAATAATAAAAATTTCAGACTGATTCTTTTGTCAGTTTGCACCAATAACCTGTTAATCTTTCAAATCTTTCCCAGAAAAAAATCAACAGACAGAAGGGCAGAGGTCTGGACTCCTCTCCTTTCCTTTCTTCATGAGAATGTAGCCCTGTTGTCCCAGATATACCCTCATGAGAGGTCAGTTGCCTTGCTATTTCCTGAATTTCCTGACCTGGATGTAGAGACCTGTAGAGATGGGAACCATAGTGTGTTAAAGGGAAGGGAAGGGAAGCCAAAGAAGTTTATTGTTCATGACTTATATAGGAGAAATGAATATTTTGGTGCTTTCTCCATATTCTTGTCCATCCTTGCCTGTTTGGATAAATAAATCAGGTGGCTCCTTCAGATTTCAAACAGAATTAATTTCATTAGTAATAGGGTTTATGGTTGAAATCACCAACACATGCAGACTAGATGAAGTAATCACTCCCTTTCCATCTACTGCTATTAATATTAGTAGTAATACATATTTATCTTGAGGTAGTCACAGTGGACAATACATAAGTATAAAACATGGAATCATGGGTCAAAGCAAGATGATTGAAATCACTTTCTCCAAAACTGTTCAATCCTTCAACTCCCCATCCCCCAAGAAATTATGCAATAGATGTAGAATAACTACTCTACAGAAATACCAGAGGAATTTAATACATAGAGTACTCACTCAGCATATCTCTCCCACCAGCCTCCCTGTGTTTAGGAGCACAAGAAAATTTGTAGGCTTGTATGTGGGGTTGAGGAAGGAAGGCATACACAATGATAGCAATGACTGTTCAAAACTGCACACCCTTAGGGGTGCTACTCATCAGCAAAGGGGAGGAGATGATAGGTGAATGAATGGCAGGGACAAACAAAAGTGAAACACCAAATACATCAAAAGAAAAAGCTTCAATAAATGCTCAATGCTCAGCAAGATAAAAAAAAACCCTAACTATAATGGAGAATCTCTCTTAATTAGTGAAAAAGACATTAATGGATTTTAAAAACTCAAATACTGAAGTGGATAAAAGTTTAATAGTGGAAAAGCAAAAGGAAATGACATCAAAAGAACACATGAATTCTAAACAAATCAAAGCAACTGACCTCAAAATTAAGAAGACAAGAAATAACATGTGAATCATAGGAGTCCCAGAACATCATGACAATTTTTTTTAAAAACCTCCAGTAACATTATTTATGAAACATTAAAGTAAAACTGTCCAAAATTTGTGGATACAGAAAAGAGATTAACAACTGAAAGAATCCAAAAATCAACACCAGATAAAACAAACAAGCAAACAAACCAAAACATTCTTGGAACTGCAAGACGTGAACTTAAAGGCTAAACAATTTCAGTGAAAAAACAATAATTTTTTTCAAGCTATCAAAAGAAAGACCTTAAAATATGAAGAAAACTTTAACAACAAAAGATTGTTTCATAAGTATGAGAAATTACAGTAGAGAATGGATTAATATTTACTTTAAACTAAAGAAAATCAACTGAAAATTACATGCCCTGCAAAACTAAGCCTACTCACTAGTGGAAAAAAGAGGCATTTTAATGGTTACTTAAAAAACAAACAAACAAACAAAAAACAGAAAACCACAGATGTGAGACTGTTTGACTTGTAAATACCCTAA